GTATCGCCAGACGGAGGTCGCCAGAACGTTCAATGAGTGATGCCGAATGATGCACAATGCCGCTGGCCGTATTGAATTGGCATGCCACATTATACACGACATGGTGACTGCTCGACGTTGAATAGGATTGCGTCATGGCGAGTCCAACATGACCTTACTAACACGAAACCCGAGTCTTCTCCTGTGCTCTCTATCTAACAACTTTACCACCAAGGACCATCTATAATGACCGGGCAAACCACTTACGCAAATGTCGTCCGAGACGCAGCAACAAAAACAGTCCCTAACGTGGGCGTTGTCGGGAGTTCTAAGCCTTTTTCCACCCGATTTGTACGCAGGATCAAATCATCCGATGCACTGCCTCGGATCCCAAGACCAGTTTCACCACGCATGATTGCGCCAGCGACTCGTGGTATCTCTTGGGCGAAGGCAGTTTGCGCCACTGACTTGCAGAGTATTCCGGAATCTGTTGACGATTTCGAGATCCTCGAAAAAGATAGTGCGCCGACGATTGTCGAGGATTTCGCGCCTGTGGATATATCGATGATCGCTGCAGATGAAGCGTCTGACGAAGTTAAGGTACGCCCACTTCCTCGGACTAACGAGTTTTTGACTGACAAAACTTTTACAGTCGAACCCACCGCCTCTTGTATCTCCCTATGAACAGCTACGCGCAACCAAACAGGATGTGTACAAGGTGAGCTGTAATCCTGTCGGTCCCCGCAATTCGCCTGGCCGAGTTATATCTATGACTCGCCTCTAAAGCCGTGCAGAAAGCGCGAACAGCTAACAGCGCGGCCTACAGGATAACCTAACCATCTACATCGAGGACGCTTCTCTCGAGAATGAGAAAATCAAAATCACGGTATCTCTAGAGCATGAGATGTCTCTGCATGAGCCACAGTCTCGTGATATTGCCACTCCTGCTGACGATTTTGTCTCCTCGGTTGATGGCACATATCGCATTTCGGGTCCCCTCGAACCGGAAGGCATGAGCGTAGAACCAGCAGATGGAAGCGAGAATCTCAAAGAACCAGATCCAGGGTCTAACTTATCCGCCTCGATAATTCTCGCCGAGGACGTCGCTGAAGATGACAACCCTCTCACCCGCGAGGAGCATGTTCGATCCCCTTGAAACTGATGTTTCTTTCTTGCTAACCTTTTGAAGATGGTACTCTACGCCGACCTGCTGTCGGATTCAACTCCCGACGACCCAAAGGTCCTGACAAATGGCCGTTCCGATATAACGGCGAACATAGATTTGTCATCCTCCGCCCCATACTTCAGCCTACTGCGGATGATGGGGTCATTTATCAATCGAGCCGTACAGCAAGTTACAACTCTTGAGGCCCGTCATGCAATTTTACTTTCCTACGCGGAGATTATTGGCAACCAGGGTCGTTCTAATCACGACAATGGTTTTGGGTCACCATCTACAAGATACCAGAGGGATGCGCAGGGTAACGTCTACATCGAAGACTCAAATTCCTCGAGTGGTTGGACCAAGGTTATAGACCTTGGAGAGCGGATCATCAAGATTGATGCTGAGCGGAATGCCGCGTATGAAAATGCGAATAACAAGAAGTTCGCTGATGAGTATGACAGCATGTTGGCTACCAAGATGCAATATTGGTCGCACGTTGACATCCAAAATATCGAGGGTATTAAGGAATGGCTCGCATCCAGGGCTTATACTCTAGAGCTTGAGGCGATGAGGGTGCGGATCGAGATCCGGGACAAGAGCGAGGGGATGAAGGATATCTTCGGCTTTGTGGGGACGGAGCGAAAGAAGATCATGGCCGGGTTAAACCAGGAAGTGAAAATGTTCGAATAAGTAAATCAGATCGCCGACAACATCGATAGTGTCCTGGAGATCAAGGACGGCTATCCCGAGGTAAACGGCACTATGACAAGGGATTTTGGGGAGTGACAGAGCAAAGCGGTCTTGTATGATCAAGCTAGATATTTGACGTTTGTGACATTTTTGTACTTAAGATTTGGAATAGATAGTTGAATAGCTTTGAACAAACCCCCTGGTGGGAACTGGCATGGCGCTGGTATGATTCTGCTAAGAAACGTCGGAAAGAGCTACCAGACTTCACATCTTGCATTATAATTCTCAATTCTCGATTCCCCGATTCCCCGATTCATTATCATAATTATGGCATGTGAAGATAAGCCAATGCACTATCCCGCTTTACAGAACTCCCTACTAGAAAAGTAGTCGACTTTATCGGCGCAGGAACAACATCTACCGACACCGGCATTGTTGTTCGATTTCAATGTCATCTACCATGAATATGTGCAACAGGTCGTCCAAGTGGTCTCACAGCTATCTACACATACGGTAGTTATTTAGAGAAAGCAATATATGTTAGCGAAATGAACTTGGCCTAATAACTCATGCCTGGACATGGTCACAAAACATGCTGACGGTCCATGCAAGTATATCACACGACATCACTCGGTGCTGATCCCCGCGCAGCGTCCTCTGCGCATGCGCCACGTTCGTCATTGAAAATTTGCACTCCCAACCAACCCCAACAGCGGATTTCGCCGAAATACGCACAAATGTAACTGTGCAAACGCATCCCCACCAAAGAATGGCAGAATTTAGACAACTGATGACGGTCCGACGAATGTTGGAGTACCGAAAAATGTACCTTCAGTTGCCTTCAGGTGCCTTCGAGTGCGCGGTACTTGCTTCTATTGGCCACGCATGCGGCTTCCAAATACGAATAGTCTATGCGGGATAATCCGACTAGCAATTACACACTTTGCAGGTTGTGTTTATTACCGCGTTTTTCGGTCTGCTGTGTGAAGCTTACAGCAGCCCTGAGGCAAGTCATGATCACCCAACCAATTGTTAATAACCCAATCAGGATACCTCGACCCGAAACTAAGGATGACAGCCGCATGTAATTACCCGGAATGGGATGCATTGCATGCGAAGCTTGTAGCATGTAGCTTTTCCCGACTGCGCAATGTGATGCCTGGGTACCTAAAGTTTATTAGCTTCTCCTAGGTTTCATCTTTGAAGTAGTACATAGGTATCAAAAGTTGTAGTGAACGGCTGATTTTCTTTATCGATAAGGAGAAACGTTATTTCTGCCTACTCTCAGCTTCTAGCTTCGCAAGCTTGCACCACGTCGGACCGTATGATCATGTGCAGTTCGCTACCCAATTATGCCCATCATCACTTGTGGACGCGGGGAATATTTCTACCGAGGGCTACCTGAATGCTGTAACTGCACTATTCCCGCAATTACAGCTGAGTACAACTCGACAAAGTCACCAAAGTTAGTAAAACGTCTGCACAACATTTGGAATCTGCATAATCTCACCCATTTAAGAAGGTGGGATAAGCACAAAAGTACATTTATCCATTTCGATACGTGATGATTCATGATTTCTTGAGCTTTTGGGATACAGAGTTACCGACCTGCCGAGGGTACCCATAGCCTTGTTCGTTGTCATGATCCCGCCGCTAGTTTCGATAACCACTCTGATTGAGGCATTGACAAACGAAGGTTTGGTGAACTACACCAGTTGCCTGGTAATTGATATTCGTATACCTGGTTCGCATGATGTGATGTGATAATGTGGCGAGCCAGTGACTAGCTGAACGGGAATAAATTCGCATGATTTGCGAAGTTTTTAATCATTATTGTAACAGCTAAGCGGATCAATTCTTTGGGGAGATATATAAAACCCCTCCTCCTCTAGTAAATAAAAATCTCCATCATCACCATCAATTACCCTGTTTATCTGTTTATATTGCGACAATCACATCCATCCATCATGTTCATCCGTCCCTCCACCTCCTCAGATCTCCCCTCTTTAATCCAAGTCGCCACCTCCGCCTTCCAAACCGATGATTTCCTCACCGAACTCTGTCCCGGCCGTGTCGACAACCCTCAAGCATATAAAGATTTCTGGCACGACCATCTTACACAGCGAATCAACCACAATTCTCGTGTTGTTTTCTCGGCAGTAAACTCCCTCGGGGACGTGATAGGGATGGCAGTATGGTGGTACTGGACTCTGGACCCATCCTCGGCTCCTACTCCTCATGGAATTCCCGTGGCTCCTTCTTCATTGTCTGCAGTCTACCCCACTTCCGAGATGATGGCGAATCCCATTCTCTCAAAGGAGGCATTGGCAGAACTATCTATTATCAAAGAGAAAGAGACGAAGGATTTCTTTTTAGGAGAATATAAAACGCATTGGCATTTAGAGTGGTTGGCAGTGCATCCAGATTGGTGGAGAAAGGGAGCGGGGACTATGTTGCTGGATTGGGGACTCAGACAGGCGGAGAAAGATGGGATGGCGGCGATGTGGGAGGCCTCTCCTGAGGGGGTGGAGTTTTATCAGAAGAGGGGGATTGAGACGATTGGGATTGTGGAGTTTAGGGGGGTGGATTATCCGTTGTTTGTTTGGAATGGGAAGGGGAAAGGAGAGACAATGGCGACGGCCAAGGAGACGGCCAAGGAAATTGCAGGGGAGCAGGTTGAAGAGGCTGAACCATAGCTATATAGAGGAGTGAAAATGCTGTATAGGATTGTGTTTGTTTTGTCCGTGTTATTTCTTGGCTTTTCTTTGCGTAAATTTAGGAATCGAATCTTGATGTTTGTTTCAAACGAGTGAGTCCATGTGAATAACTGTACGGAAACGGGGGTCTTGTGAAGTCCAAGCTGGACTACTTATAGTTTAAGCTTAGTTCTTATATATCCTTACGGTTGCTCGCTGCCATTCAGATCTAGAATCGGCAGGGAGATGATGAACTTTGATGAATTTGATGGACAAAGCGTACTTACCATGAGTGAGATGAGGACGCCAAGGTCCAGCGTAAATCAAAGATTCAAATCATCGTCCAGCCATCACATATTGTCTCTAGAAGCCGTAAAAATCTGAGAAATTGTCGAAATTATCCCATGAGGGGTCGATGTCGCCCACTTTAACCATTAGCTTAAATACTTATTATTAACTACCTAACATTATCCGATATGGTGTAGGGGTTAGCATTGGTCGCTTTCATTCTCAGTTTCTGAGACAAGTGCCGACTAGACCCGGGTTCGATTCCCGGTATCGGAATAAATCTTTTGCTTCTTGAGCATTGAATGCATTTTTATGCACTGGTCTATGACTCGTTAGCAGATCATGATGCTGACAGACCGGGGATGCGGCTGATTCAACGCCACAGTTACTATTGTTGTTGCATCTCTGTTTGTGTAACAGTTGTCTTGATACGAAACTTTGAGAGGAAATGACATCGCCTTTTGCACTCCACATCTTCGTTATCTTCGCTGCAAGCAGCAGGGACTTGTCGCTCATTCATGGGGCATCACTCTATACACCACGATCCTGCGACGCCTTCCGACTCCTGAGAGCGCACGAATAGCATGAAACATCAAGCCGTCATTTCCGCGAAAACAAAAACTTTTAATTAACCCAAAACCTAACGCCGAATACATAATCCCAACATATATCCCTTTACAACTTCCTAAAAACTCTAACAAAGTACCTCATATTCTCCAACTGAAGAGGGTATCTAAGACCAGTTCCAATCACCTGTCCATTGAAAACAGGTGCCTGGGGTAATCTATACCATCTACTCTCCTCCTCCACAACCTTCTCCCACTCTCCACCTGCAAGGAGGGTATGGTCCAGCAGCATCCCCATAGAAAACTCCTTATCTCCAACCTTAACCATAGAGTAAGAACCAGCCGACTCCAAAACTAATAACAAACATCCCTTCTCAACACAAGATCCAAGCTCAACAAACATCTTTGTTGTCTTAGCCCTGCTCTCAGTGTAGAGTTCGTTTGTGACAAAAAGGTAACTAATCAACCTAGTCTTGCGACCAATGACAGTCTTCAAATCCACATCCAAAATATTCGCCTGCTTGAACTGTGCTGTAAACCGTTCCTCGGAAATAAATCCATTATGAATACCCCCCAAAAGCTTATCGAAAACAGGACCCCAGGCGGCGACGTCAATTCCGGTCATGACGACCTTTCCTTTACTCTCCTCAGGATCACGGGGGATCAAAAATTTAGTAGCAGAAGCTGCGGCAGCTAGCTCAGCCCCGGCACCTCCTCCGATACAAACGATCTCCTTGTCCTTGGCCTGCTCAGTCTCGAAGACATCTCTCAGGAGGTCGGTCAGGTCGAGGAAAACACTTCTGTAGCAAAGTGCTCTACTGGGAGACCAGCGAACAATGTAACCCTGGAGATTTTCATCGGATCCGAAAGCAGCGGTGTAGTCGCGGTTAAATAGGTGTCCCTTGACAGTTTGAAGGAGGGTGTGAAGCATAGGGTTTTCGAGAGCCGCGGAAAATGTCTGTTGGAAGAGGTTGATGATTTCTTTAGAGGCGACGAGTTCGGGGGAGGGTTTAGGAGCGACGGGAAGGCGCTTGGATTTGACTTGTTGAGGCTTCTTGGTGGGTTTAGCGGGGGCTTTGGGTTTAGAGCTGCCGGTGTCGAGGATACGGTTCTCGTCGTAACCGTGACGGTTACCGTCTTTCGGCGCGCGGACTCCCATTCTGTTGCTGTGTTGATGATTGCGGGGGGTGGTTGTAGGTGTGGTTGTGGAGAGGTGCTGGCAAATGAGCTAGAGGTGAGCGAAAATTGGAATTTTGGATACAGCAGCCTTATCGTCACGTGCAGATAAGCGAGAGACTTGCAGTAGCGGGCGCCGGGACGAATGATGGTTCGAGACCCACTCCGGACGGGCAGCGGTTTTAAAGATTCAGAGACGCGCGTTTGACAAATTTACAGCCGTTTATTGATTCGCTTCGTAACTTCATGATTAATTTGGCTAATTGGTATCATCACCAGACAAGAATATATCAACACACATATGCTTTATTTCCCTGAAAAAGCTGTGCATCGACTTTTGGCTGATATCTTACGCCCATTATCTACTGAGCAATGCATGCCATCTTCCCCAAATGCGCCGTAAATCTAAACAACCTGAGCACCGTATCCTCTGATGCTCTCGGCAAACTTCCAGCTCTGCTGCTTTAGCTGAATGTCTTTTCTGTGCTCAATCTCAACCTTGTCACCCTCGCCGCTGATGATCGACATGGAGTATTTGTTCATACTCCGTGCGTCTCTGTAGAACAACACCTTCATACACTCCTCGATGACCGAAATAGCCTGCTCACGGGTGATGTTGGCGACGGCGGCCTCGTCGGGGCAGACACGGCGGAGGAGGGGGATCGCAAGGTGGGCACCGAAACCAGAAGCGAGCGCAGGGCCGGAGAATGTAGTTCCCAAAAGATCTGTGGAAGCCAAGAAACTATTCGTTTATGTCAGTAACCAGCAGTGGCTGTATCCTAGCAAAGGCAGCTTACGGCTTTCCATCATCCCAACCTGCGACCAGTAGTACGTTCCATAGAGGGTTGAACTTTGAGCGTCTGTGGTACATCACTCTCGACAAATAGCTGTAGATGTGTTTCGCGCGCAAGTGGTGACCGTCGTTCTGGTACTCCTCCGAGATGATGAGCTGCTCGAGCTGCTCGTCGAACAAGAACTGCATATCGCTGACGTCGCCGGAAGCACCGACAACAGTGTGAGATCCGACCTGCTTGAGACGCTCAACATTGGTGAAACGTGCAAGGGAACCGTAGGAAGCTGTCGCAGTTTAGCACCGGGGGTGATTGCAAGCTAACAGAGCGAGCACGAACCAAGGTTGTCGGCAGCAATCACAACTCCACCGTTGTACTTGAGAGCAACTACTGAGGTACCGGTGACAACCGGGCTAGTTGTGTGCTGGTTGGGATTGGAAGCCGAGACGTATTGATGGTCGTATGCACCGTAGATGTCGTCTCTAGGCTGGTTCGTTTAGCTAGGAAGAGACGGCGAGAATGGGAGACATACGCGGCCCCAGGCTTCAGGAAGGTGGTTCATGGCGAATGTGTGGATAGAGCTGATGGATGAGAGTACCGGTGGTGATGGAATGGGCGTTGGAGGGGATGTTCGTGAAGGTCAGGTTGGTGGTTGAGTTACGTTAAGCTCTAGCTATCCGTCACGTGTGGCGTGCATTAGCTTGGAGGGGCGCGGAGCCGCATTGAACGGGCGCGGCCAAGAGAGCTCTCCCTCGCAACTGTCAAGAGTCAACCGATATCACTCGACGATTAACCTTCAGGGTCAAACAACGTCTCACTCGCAGCGCCATGTAACGTACTATATGATACAGCCGTTCCGAATGATTTTGATTTCATCACCTACTCTACACATGTCACATCGTACACGAAACCGGCTGAGAATGTCACATCTACACAATGTGTTCCTGTCTCTGATAATCTCGTTACATCGTGGAGCATATGTCCAATCGAGGCGAAATAATCATCTTCAAGCTTCATGAACTGCTCAACTCCGACGCCGAACCATACTCAATCAGTACTAGCTCTCGATCCCGGATGCTGCCGACGGCGCGACCCACCTCTAGCTGAAAACCACGTTCCAGCATCCGCCATCATCCGGAGCCGTGGCGAGTTGTAACGTTTCTCTACATATTCCTGTACCTCGGGAGGTAAATATCCCGGGAGAACTCGTACAAACTGCAAGTAAAATTCAGTCCGGATGCAGAATTCGGGCTTCGGAATTCAGTTTTGTCAGCATGCACAGGCGGTTACATTGAATCAGTCTAACAATGCACGAGCGTTCCACAATCTCGGTATTTTTCCAGTTTTTTATGGCTTCACTTAATCTAGTATGGTTATTCTGATGTTGGTGGGTAGGTACGGGGGTGGGTATCATGAGATTCTTCAGCTGGAATGCTGTCAGCGAAATTGAGGCTATTTTTACGCTCATTAGCGAAAGGAATGATGTATCTGGAGTATATAAACCGTCATATCCATAACAGATATCGAAATCATCATCACCCAACTCACCATGCTCATTCTCCAATTCCTCACATCCATCTCTTTGATTTCACTCGTGGCCAGTGCAACCACCCTTGCACCAGTAGAATATCCCTTCCGTCTACGAGTCTGGAAAAACTGGAAAGGCGGCCCACCCTACCTCGATTCCCAGCCCGAAATCGACGCTTGGGGTGACTTTATAGTTAATAAAACTCAAGGTTACGCGGGTTTCCTCAGCGTACGACATCTCCCTTGCGTTTACCAACAATACGAAAATATGATGGTTGACGAAGATATTTGTGACAGAAATTGACCCCCGATCCTAAGAGAGGAGAATTGAAGGGTGTCGATAATCCGGGACAGGGTTACCTGCAACCGCTTGAGACACCGGGTCATTATCAATTTAAATGGGCTAGGAAATATATTCCATACATAATCAACGTACTTAATACCCGCCGGAACTAATCTACACAATGCTGACGAAGCATGTAGCAACCTGGAGTTCTTTCGCAAAACTTCACCCGTGGTGGTCAAGACTGTGGCGGAAATTGTGGCGGCATCACAATGAGGTATAATGCGAAGCCGTATGGCCAAGGGATCGAGTCGGGTACTTGGTTTGTAGTGCCTCACCCGCGTCATGATCCGGGTGTTTATTTGGTAAGTTATTTCTGTTAGTTGGAGAGGGAAGATGAAGTTGTTGATTAAAGTTTAGGTGCGATATACTACGGATTCTGGCAAGTATCCATTACCGACTGGGGCTTATTATGTGTACATGTGGGCAAGTGATGTTTAAGGAAGCTATACTTAGAGTAGTATGGAGGACTTCAAGACTAGGTGTTCCAAAATATGTGTAGCCGGGAGAGCAATGTGGGCAAGGAGGTATGGTGGGAGATCAGAAGATAGTCATAAAGCAGTAGATGATAATTCTACCCTTTCAACAAGCATAAATAGTTTTATTCGAAATCATCATCATCATGTGCTATGGTTTACCCACTTTCACATCTAAAATTTTCGCTTCCATCCAACACGGGTGATCCTCCATGCTCCACTAACTCCCCCCGGTTAGCCGACCCAACGCGCACCGACGCGCAAAAAGCTCATCCCATGCCACGCTAAAAATAAAGTAGAGTTACCCCACCACTTCGGACCCCACCACCTCAGACCCCGCGATCTCTCCACCAGACGCGCCGCAGCCATGTTCGACTCCGACTCCGAAGACGACGGC